TCGGGCACCAGCCATGATGGCATTGTCCGTTTGGTTTGGGCCTGTATCTTTCTACAAGGTCTTTGATGGTGGGATAGAGTGTATCTAGGGTTCATGACCATTCCACAAAGTGATTTCAACACTGCAATGATTGTAAGTCTGTGATAAGGTTTGAGACCAACAATCATTGTAGCACCAAGATGATAATAATACCCATTCTTTAACATAGACTAAAGACACAGGGTTTTACCAAATGCTAATTGTTGTGTCCTACACATATACAAATTTAGAATGGACGCAAATACTTTAATTACATTACAAGTCCTGGGGGATGAAAAAAAAGACAGCTGTTTGTTAAAACTAATCAAAATTGTAGACTCCATGCTAAGTATACCGGGGTAAGTGATATTTCTATTCTGGTAAGAAATACACCCAAAACTCACAGCATCAGGGGAAGACTATGTTCAATTTAACATTGAAATCCCTGTCTACACGAGGCATCTGAGCGTGTACCGGTAAGTGCTACGATCAGACCTCAGTTAAATTCTTGGAAATCAAACTCAGTGGGACCCCCAATTTTATGCCTCAGACACGCAAAAACTGTTACCAAGCGTCTGCTGGACGAGAAAATAATTAGATCCAGGTAATCCTTGAGGAGTCCTAGCTGTGAGATGGATTTGTGAAACGAGGCCCAGTTCTCATTCATCAAAGCATGTACAATATTGTGACCTTTAATGTCAATACATGAACAGTTTCTTGAGCAAGAAAACATCACAATAGCTAGCACCATCTATATCCACTGAACATCCATCAACTTAATCACATGACAAGATCAAGTAACTATCCAAAACACAGACACAGCAGTCAAGCAAATTTCGTGACCAGAATTGTAATTTCGTTATCATCAATTAGGAAATACTATATCTTCTACAACTGTATATTTCAGGAATAAAAGATACCAGACTTGGCTTGTAGCATTTCACCCTGAGGCTTGGTGCTCATTGTGTGAACTTTTATCTCAACAGAAGAAAAAGTGCTTATTTTAAAACACCCACTAGAAATAAGTAAAATGTCTAAAAAAAGACCTCATTTACCGTTGCTACCAAAATAAATAAATTATGTAAAACAGTATAATCCTGACCAAAAAAATCTTTTGGTAAAACTCCTGTCCCTGATTATATTCTTGTAAAAGAAAATTCCAACCTACTTCACATTTTGAGTAAATCAAAAATATGTACATGAAATTGATTTTTTTATCCAAGAACATGACATTTTGGCGAAAGTTGGTAGTTGTTAGTTGTGCAGTCTTGCTTAAAAATTACTAGCCCTGCTTGTATGTTTCTAAACTTGCTTCATAGTAGCATACTGTGCTCAAAACCCCAAATGTCTTGATTAAAAGTTGCTTGCCTTGCATAAAAGTTGCTTGTCTTGCATAAAAGCTGCTTGCCATGCATAAAATTGCTTGCCTTGCTTATAAATTGCAAGCTGTGGGTCCTGTTGAATCTTTTGCAGCCAAACTCTCATTGATCACAGAGGATGAAATGAAATATACCCAGTGCATCTTTGCTGTCTTTCAGTATATGGACAAATACAGGAAAATACAAATATTTAGATAGTACGTAGTTTGACACTTACTTCAACATCGTTCAGTGATTCAGCAGCAGTCTATCCCCTGTCTCAAGCACAAAGGAATCTCCCTCTTTCAAGCTTGAAGCTAGCTGGTTGGCAAGCTAATCTGACAATAATTATTCTCAGATGGACATCCAGATAGATTGCCAAGTTGATCTGCAAATACTCTTCTGAGATGGACATCCAGATCGACTGCAAATCTGTCCAATGATTTCCAGAGTCTGTAAGTTGAAGAAATCACAAAACGATAGTCAGCAAACTCCAGATCTGAATCAATAGGCACCGAGATCTATTGAATATGCAATTCCGTGCCTGCACAATCCATTCACAAGAACACTATGAAAACAACTCATCTCTGTCGGGACAGCTGGGGAGGTCAAGGAACCCTCTCTTTTTCAGACTGACTAAAAAACTAAAAAACGATTTGAAAAAAATATTCAATTTGAGTCTGAGCTGACTTCCCAAACCTGTTGAGGGGGAGGCAGGTTTTGTTTCAGTTTCTGAGTTCAGTCAAACATCCCCATACAGAAGGCCAAGCAAGAACTTTTTACAGTGAATACCTCAGTCCACGAGATGGTATTTCCTTTGTCACAGCAATTGTGCAACCAGGTGGGCTCTAGGAAGTTAAAAGATTACAAGAATCACTGACCCCTCATTCACAACATACTCCCACCATGTTTGCCCGCCAGCTGATCCCTGGGTCTATGTTTACAGTGGTCAGCCAAAGAGTCGGCTTACACCATGAGCAGAAATAGCCCCAGGCAACTTGGACACTGACAGGGGAAGTCCCGAATCAATGGACTCTATCATGGGGGACTGTCTCAAAACAAACAGGTGCATTTGTTTTGGCTAGGATTCTGGGCTGGGTTGGTCTGTTCACTCTCTGGGAAATAAGCATGGATTTATTGGATTTAAAGGATTTGTTATCAGATACACCTTTCTATAGACAAAAACAAATAGAGAAGGGGAAGTTTGACAGAAAAAAACCCTTAAAATGTAATCATTCAAACACAAAAATTTATTATCTAAATCAAAACTCAGGACTCTCATAATGTGAGAATTTTTATGAAAATAACATTAATTCAGTTTAAATGGGCAGCACATTCATTTTTGGATGTTAGATAGTAAAAGTTCTGCATAACAGTGCTGATGAAGTGATACATCATGTTCACTAGTTCCACCAAATAAGGGGTGGTTGAGTAGCCTCGTCACACCGAATACCTGGGTTCAATTCCCGACATGGGTATAATGTGTGAAGCTCATTTCTGGTGTCCCCTGCCATGATATTCCCGGAATATTGCTAAAAGCGGCATAAAACCATACTCACTCACTCACTCCACCAAATAACAGTTCGGTGAAGTGGCTGAATGGACAGGTGAAGTGGCTGAATGGACAGGTGAAGTGGCTGAATGGTGAGTTAGTGAATTGACAGGTGAAGTGACTGAATTGTGAGTTAGTAAATTGACAGGTGAAGTGGCTGAATGGTGAGTGAGTGAGTGAGTGAATGGACAGGTGAAATAGTTGAATGGTGAGTGAGTGAGTGAGTGAATGGACAGATGAAATAGTTGAATGGTGAGTGAGTGAGTGAGTGAATGGACAGGTGAAATAGTTGAATGGTGAGTGAGTGAGTGAGTGAATGGACAGGTGAAATAGTTGAATGGTGAGTGAGTGAATTGACAGGTGAAGTGGCTGAATGGTGAGTTAGTGAATTGACAGGTGAAGTGGCTGATTGGTGAGTGAGTGAATTGACAGGTGAGGTGGCTGAATGGTGAGTGAGTGAATTGACAGGTGAAGTGGCTGAATGATGAGTGAGTGAATTGACAGGTGAAGTGGCTGAATGGTGAGTGAGTGAATTGACAGGTGAAGTGGCTGAATGGCGAGTGAGTGAATGGACAGGTGAAGTGGCTGAATGATGAGTGAGTGAGTGAATTGACAGGTGAAGTAACATGGGGAAATGGGAGAAGGAACTCAACTTAAGTAACATCATCCTGAAGTCTACATGGAGATACTGGTGTTAAATATGTTACTGTTCAAACAGAGACCATACCTATTTATATACACACATCATACCTATATACACACACAACTATTTATATACACACACAACTATTTATATACACACATCATACCTGTATATACACACACACCTATTTATATACACACATCACACCTATATATACACACACACCTATTTATATACACACATCACACCTATATATACACACACAACTATTTATATACACACATAACACCTATATATACACACACCATACCTATATATATACACACACCATACCGAAGAGTATTTTGTTTATAACTACAATTATATACTTCTAGTGACATCATCCTATTGTTCTCCAGTCGGGTTAAATCTCATAAACAGGGAAGATATAATATCCTGGGGATTATATCAATACAACTTCCGTTTATATTGTAACATATGAATGTTTCTCGCTAGAAATTTATAATGCATTTCAACACAATGTAAAGAAATGTAAAATCAAATGTTTTCTTTATGTTCCCAAGGATTGAACATGCAACCTTCGTATCTGTAGCCCAGTGAGTGTACAGCTAGGCTACAGTGGCGCTGATAAATCACAATGCTTTCAAGAATGTCTTTTTCAAGTACCCTACGCCAGCAAACAGATATTTTACGCCCATTTCCAAAGGTTCAAGGGAAGTATGTTTGAAACATAGAAATGTTGATAAATGTTGTTTTAAGTTTCTTTTTCGGTTTTTAAGTCAGATAAAACACTTACCCTCAGGTTTTTATCCCACAAATAACATAGATCGAATTCTGACAACTGTCCACGAGACAACTGATACCTTCTGGCCAGTTGGTACAAGATCGAACACTGTACGTTCAACCAGACCAGAACTGGGTTACACCATGGCTACAAGGAGGTAAGGTGAAATGGGGGTCAACATCACATTCAAGATTATTGCACTTACCATATTCGACGTAATAAGCACCCAGGGCGCTCTCAAAATTAGAAATAGGGGCCCTTATTGGAATATTAATTTGATGAAAAAAAACAGAGTTGAAAGATCGTAAATTTTGTTGTTTAAGCTGACAGCCTGATATGTTTATATACAGCAGATATATTTTTCCAAATTTAATTGCCCATATTTAAGGGTGCATACTGCATATAACACACGACTCTGTATCATACAGGAATAAATAAGTCTTCTGTACATTGATCAATCGGAACGGGTGCTAAATGGGATTGTTCACTAGCCAATATATAGCAAATACTGCCTTGGGCGCTTATTATGTCGTATACGGTATATAGTGAAGTGCATGCATGTCTGCAGCTGCTTGAACTAGTCCAGACTTATTCCCTTAATGCAGGGGCAGGTACCATCTTTCAACATGTCTTAATGGCCAAGGGATGGAACCATCATCCGTCCGCTCTGATGCAGAGAAGCAGAGGAGGTAATTCAAAGGAAGTTTGTTTGTTGTTTAATGCCGCACTCAGCAATATTCCAGCTGTAAATAATTTCGTCTGGGCCAGACAATCCAGTGATTGACATCATGAGCAACAATCCGCCCAATTGGGATACGATGACATGCATCAACCAAGTCAGCAAGCCTGACCCCCCGATCCTGTTAGTTGCCTCTTACGACAAGCATAGTCGCCTTTTACAGCAAGCATGGGTTACTGAAGGAAGTCAAACAACTGATGATCAGTTTCGATTTCTGTATTTCGATATAAGCATGTTCTCATGTTACTTTGCAATCAAAAATAATTGTGTTTTGTCATCAAATTGAAAGAGGATATGATTTTAGAAAGTTCATTTTTTCATTTTGTTTGTATTGTTATTCCAATCTTTTTAATCAATACAAACCCCTGGGACAAAGTGTATTGATACATATAGATTTTCAGTTGTAATATCATGAAGTTTCCCACAAAATCTTTACATCCTTTACATATATGCATCTGTTAAGTTAGGCATGGCTTACTATGTTTCCATATTAAATAGTCAATTTACGCTAAATGTCACACATGGTCATATGGCTTGGTTGTGACTGCCCCGCCCACATTTTAGTCATCACATGTGCTGTATGTACAGTAAAGTATAACATAATGAACTGAAATGGGCCACTAATTTTAGTTTGTAATAACCATAGTTCGTTATAAGCATATATACAGCATAGGGGTGTCACGATAAATCAAAATATCGATATATTGCTTTTGGTAAGCACTTAAAGTCAATAAATCGATTGTTAAATCATTTTCCGATCAATAGTATCGTTTTCAGTTAGGAATATCGATAGTTTCAATTGTTTTTATCATATCAATAAAATACATGCAATGCTGTTCAAATTTGTTTTTCTTTTGATCATGAATGGTAGTAATTTACACATGCTAATGTGGAAGTTTCTTTTTCTTAAAAAAAAACAAAAAAAAATCTGTCATATCTCAAACTTTACTTTTTATTTGTTGTTATGGTTATCTCATTCAAAGGAAACTTCAGTTCCAAGGTTTAATTCAACTCTAAAATCCATCTAAAATGATACACTGAATACTATTGATATTTATCGTAATAGTTGCTTGCAATATCAATAGTTATCGCAATAGTTTCTTTCAATATCAATAGTTTTCGCAATAGTTTCTTTCAATATCAATAGTTATCGCAATAGTGATTTCCAGACCAATAGTCACCCTTATATCTAAGTGACATAATCCAAAGGGGTTCAGGGTTTGATCAAATCCCCAATATCTACATGCTGTTGTCATATCGCTAACTATTAATGAGTGCTGTGATAAACAACAAACACACAAACAAAAGCTCAACTTCAAAGAATACTGTCTCAAATACTTTTGACATGGTCCCCACTCAGCTTGCCTTACTGAAAAGGGTTTATCTTCCAAACAGATTTATTTGGTTTAATTTGTGTTTGTTTGAAGTGTTCCATATGGTTCAGCAAGTCACAACTGATCAAAGTGATTAAAGGTTATTTCAAGCCATTAAGCTGAGAAGCTGTAGATGGCCAAGACCGATACTTAGAGAAGCTTTGTTAATTGAAAGATACAAACAAATGTGTTTATCAGACTCTACTAGCAGCTTGGAAACCTAAAGTGTTAACATGTGGGCACAGAGAGGGTTGTTTATGAAGGGGTTAATAAGGAGAGGCTGATCAGTCATTAGTGTCATTAGTGTGGTAAGTGTCGTTAGTGTCATTAGTGTCATTAGATGCATGATGGCAATACTATGGACTAAGGGATGGTGGGGTAGCAATGTGGTCAAAGCATTACCTGGTCACATCGAAAACCTGGGTTTGAATCTCCACAGTATTGGGTGTGAAGCCTGTTCTTTCTCGATTGACTGGTTGTTTAATAATTTCATATTTTTTTGGGGGGGGGGGGGGGGTTGCGGGGGCAATACTTTCTGGCATTGCTTAAAGACATACTGGTAAAAACAAGAATTCTCAAAGAAGGAGCCAAGCTATTTTGGGACGTCCACAAATAGTGTGTGTTTTAAAACCTGAGGCAATGGTTTTTTTCAGAAAAAACTCTGGAACCAAGACTATCAATGGTTGTCACCAAAACTCCCTCATGTGATATTGCTGAAACACGGCTGAAACTGAACTCACTACCTCGGTAATAAAGACGAGGGTGGTCCATCAATTTCATCAATAGGCATCAGTGTGACAGGACATCTATGAACACTGTAATTAGCCACACATTCTCCTTTCATGGCTTCCTATTTAAAAGATTCAGAAAAACATTGTGTTGGTCTGTTGAGAATGCTGTGGGGAAATACTACATCTTTTAAAGATGAGATATTGTTTCCTTGGTTTAAGGATTCTGCCAACCCTAAAAATAAATTGAAAGTGGGAAAAAAATCAAGTCAGAAAAGCACTATGTTTCACGCTTTTGTGTTGATGATTGAGTGGATGTTAGCTGTAATATTGTCAGCAATATTCCAGTTCCAACAACGATAAGTGCAAAAATATAAAATCAGAAAAGGACTTGTAACAAACATTATATTTGGTTTAACACTTTTTAAGCAAAGTACAAAATCTAGTACTTCTTAAGGGGTTGCCTCCCACCTGGGATTCGAACCCACACTGCCAGAGTGTGGCACCTAATCACCAGCACACAAAGTCTTCGATCTAACCCACTCACCCACCAAGGCTTTCACAAAAATGAAAATCTGACAACTGGTAGTCTAGACCACATACCTGTGTAAGTTGTGTAAGTTGTGTAAGTTGTGTAATTTCATTTTTCTCACTAGAATTTGTACTTTACTGAGAAAGTGCTATCCCAAACATGACATTTGTTACATTTGACCACTTTCTAAAAGGCATTGTGTATTCACAGAAAAGGACTATTTTAGAGTTTATGATTGAGTGTGAATGTTGCATGTAAAGACAGAGAAAACAATGATTGACAGTATAAGCAAAGATCTATGCCATCAGTGTATGGTGACAAGTCAAGTCAGCCACCAGGGCCTACTCGCACAAAGCGATCTTAGCGCTAAGCTGATCTTAACTCTCATATTTTAACATAGGCTTACAATAGTCTTAGCGCTAAGATCGTTTTGTGCAAGTGGGCCCTGATCCATCTAGTTGCCTTTCACAACAAGCAATAGAATGATGTGAGGCTATTCTCATGCCAAGGGGTCACGGAAACTGAAAGAATTATCGCTAAAACTAACTCAAATGCTCTGTATTTAGTATGGCAGCAAATACTTTGTGTGATCCTGAATAATCTCCTGACAAGTGTGGAGACAAGATAAGATAGGTTGGGAGGAGAGGGGAGAGGGAAGATTATGATCAGGTGTAAATCAAGAATCAAGAATTATTATTATTATTTTTTTTTGGGTGTGTGTGTATACACCATACCGTGTGTCGTTGGGGGGAGAACCTTGGGGTTTGACCAAAGTGATATTAACTCCCAAAACTAAAATATATTACCACACCCCTTTAAAAAATCTGTGATGAGCCTCTTGGCGGAGTGCTCCTATTGCAATGTGGTGGTAAGGGAGGTGGCCATTATATGGGAGGGGCGCCAACTACATGGAAGGAATAGAACACTTGATCAATTCAGGGCATCTGAACAATGGCAATGAGGGGGTGAGAGATGTTTTTACCAGTATATCAGGGATACCACAGCCTGTGGAAGTAGTGAGTGAAGCACACCAGTAAGGATAGGATGCTGGGGGCAAAGTTTTAGAATCAGCATAAATCTGGCATGAAAACATCTGGCAAACATTGCAGAAAGAAGGAGGAAAGTTAAAAACAAATTGAAGAAGATGAGAGACTGAGAATTTCATGAACAGAGGATGAGTCATCTGTTTCAACACCAGCAGGCAGATGTTCACAGCTGACTGCTGTGAAAGTAGCAGAGTAGCAGAGAAGAAAGAACAAAGAAAAAGCAAGGAAAACTGTCCCCATCTCCAGCGGTCAGTCCCAATAACTGCCCCCATCTTCAGTGGTCAGTCCCTATAACTGCCCCCATCTTCAGCAGTCAGTCCCTAAAACTGCCCCCATCTCCCATCTTCAGTAGTCTGTCCCAATAACTGCCCCCATCTCCCATCTCCAGCAGTCAGTCCCAATAACTGCCCCCATCTCCCATCTCCAGCAGTCAGTCCCAATAACTGCCCCCATCTCCAGCGGTCAGTCCCAATAACTGCCCCCATCTCCCATCTCCAGCAGTCAGTCCCAATAACTGCCCCCATCTCCCATCTCCAGTGGTCAGTCCCCATAACTGCCCCCATCTCCAGCGGTCAGTCCCAATAACTGCCCCCATCTTCAGTGGTCAGTCCCCATAACTGCCCCCATCTCCAGCGGTCAGTCCCAATAACTGCCCCCATCTTCAGTGGTCAGTCCCCATAACTGCCCCCATCTCCAGCGGTCAGTCCCAATAACTGCCCCCATCTTCAGTGGTCAGTCCCTATAACTGCCCCCATCTTCAGCAGTCAGTCCCTAAAACTGCCCCCATCTCCCATCTTCAGTAGTCTGTCCCAATAACTGCCCCCATCTCCCATCTCCAGCAGTCAGTCCCAATAACTGCCCCCATCTCCCATCTCCAGCAGTCAGTCCCAATAACTGCCCCCATCTCCAGCGGTCAGTCCCAATAACTGCCCCCATCTCCCATCTCCAGCAGTCAGTCCCAATAACTGCCCCCATCTCCCATCTCCAGCAGTCAGTCCCAATAACTGCCCCCATCTCCAGCGGTCAGTCCCAATAACTGCCCCCATCTCCCATCTCCAGCAGTCAGTCCCAATAACTGCCCCCATCTCCCATCTCCAGTGGTCAGTCCCCATAACTGCCCCCATCTCCCATCTCCAGCAGTCAGTCCCAATAACTGCCCCCATCTCCAGCGGTCAGTCCCAATAACTGCCCCCATCTCCCATCTCCAGCAGTCAGTCCCAATAACTGCCCCCATCTCCCATCTCCAGTGGTCAGTCCCCATAACTGCCCCCATCTCCCATCTCCAGCGGTCAGTCCCAATAACTGCCTCCATCTCCAGTGGTCAGTCCCAATAACTGCCCCCATCTCCCATCTCCAGCAGTCAGTCCCAATAACTGCCCCCATCTCCAATCTCCAGCGGTCAGTCCCAATAACTGCCTCCATCTCCAATGGTCAGTCCCAATAACTGCCCCCATCCTCTATCTCCAGCGGTCAGTCCCAATAACTGCCTCCATCTCCAGCGGTCAGTCCCAATAACTGCCCCCATCCCCCATCTCCAGCGGTCAGTCCCAATAACTGCCCCCATCTCCAGCGGTCAGTCCCAATAACTGCCCCCATCTCCAGCGGTCAGTCCCAATAACTGCCCCCATCCCCCATCTCCAGCGGTCAGTCCCAATAACTGCCCCCATCTCCAGCGGTCAGTCCCAATAACTGCCCCCATCTCCAGCGGTCAGTCCCAATAACTGACCCCATCTCCAGCGGTCAGTCCCAATAACTGCCCCCATCTCCAGCGGTCAGTCCCAATAACTGCCCCCATCCCCCATCTCCAGCGGTCAGTCCCAATAACTGCCCCCATCTCCAGCGGTCAGTCCCAATAACTGACCCCATCTCCAGCGGTCAGTCCCAATAACTGCCCCCATCTCCAGCGGTCAGTCCCAATAACTGACCCCATCTCCAGCGGTCAGTCCCAATAACTGCCCCCATCTCCAGCGGTCAGTCCCAATAACTGCCCCCATCCCCCATCTCCAGCGGTCAGTCCCAATAACTGCCCCCATCCCCCATCTCCAGCGGTCAGTCCCAATAACTGCCCCCATCTCCAGCGGTCAGTCCCAATAACTGCCCCCATCTCCAGCAGTCAGTCCCAATAACTGCCCCCATCTCCCATCTCCAGTGGTCAGTCCCCATAACTGCCCCCATCTCCCATCTCCAGCAGTCAGTCCCAATAACTGCCCCCATCTCCCATCTCCAGTGGTCAGTCCCCATAACTGCCCCCATCTCCCATCTCCAGCGGTCAGTCCCAATAACTGCCTCCATCTCCAGTGGTCAGTCCCAATAACTGCCCCCATCTCCCATCTCCAGCAGTCAGTCCCAATAACTGCCCCCATCTCCAATCTCCAGCGGTCAGTCCCAATAACTGCCTCCATCTCCAATGGTCAGTCCCAATAACTGCCCCCATCCTCCATCTCCAGCGGTCAGTCCCAATAACTGCCTCCATCTCCAGCGGTCAGTCCCAATAACTGCCCCCATCCCCCATCTCCAGCGGTCAGTCCCAATAACTGCCCCCATCTCCAGCGGTCAGTCCCAATAACTGCCCCCATCTCCAGCGGTCAGTCCCAATAACTGCCCCCATCCCCCATCTCCAGCGGTCAGTCCCAATAACTGCCCCCATCTCCAGCGGTCAGTCCCAATAACTGCCCCCATCTCCAGCGGTCAGTCCCAATAACTGCCCCCATCTCCAGCGGTCAGTCCCAATAACTGCCCCCATCTCCAGCGGTCAGTCCCAATAACTGCCCCCATCCCCCATCTCCAGCGGTCAGTCCCAATAACTGCCCCCATCTCCAGCGGTCAGTCCCAATAACTGACCCCATCTCCAGCGGTCAGTCCCAATAACTGCCCCCATCTCCAGCGGTCAGTCCCAATAACTGACCCCATCTCCAGCGGTCAGTCCCAATAACTGCCCCCATCTCCAGCGGTCAGTCCCAATAACTGCCCCCATCCCCCATCTCCAGCGGTCAGTCCCAATAACTGCCCCCATCCCCCATCTCCAGCGGTCAGTCCCAATAACTGCCCCCATCTCCAGCGGTCAGTCCCAATAACTGCCCCCATCTCCAGCGGTCAGTCCCAATAACTGCCTCCATCTCCAGTGGTCAGTCCCAATAACTGCCCCCATCTCCCATCTTCAGCAGTCAGTCCCAATAACTAACCCCATCTCCCATCTCCAGCGGTCAGTCCCAATAACTGCCCCCATCTCCAGCGGTCAGTCCCAATAACTGCCCCCATCTCCAGCGGTCAGTCCCAATAACTGCCCCCATCTCCAGCGGTCAGTCCCAATAAATAACCCCATCTCCCATCTCCAGCGGTCAGTCCCAATAACTGCCCCCATCTCCAGCGGTCAGTCCCAATAACTGCCCCCATCTCCAGCGGTCAGTCCCAATAACTGCCCCCATCTCCAGCGGTCAGTCCCAATAACTGCCCCCATCTCCAGCGGTCAGTTCCAATAACTGCCCCCATCTCCAGCGGTCAGTCCCAATAACTACCCCCATCCCCCATCTCCAGCGGTCAGTCCCAATAACTGCCCCCATCTCCAGCAGTCAGTCCCAATAACTGCCCCCATCTCCAGCGGTCAGTCCCAATAACTGCCCCCATCTCCAGCGGTCAGTCCCAATAACTGCCCCCATCTCCAGCGGTCAGTCCCAATAACTCCCCCCATCTCCAGCGGTCAGTCCCAATAACTAACCCCATCTCCCATCTCCAGCGGTCAGTCCCAATAACTGCCCCCATCTCCAGCGGTCAGTCCCAATAACTGCCCCCATCTCCCATCTCCAGCGGTCAGTCCCAATAACTGCCCCCATCTCCAGCGGTCAGTCCCAATAACTGCCCCAATCTCCACTCTCCAGCGGTCAGTTCCAATAACTGCCCCCATCTCCCATCTCCAGCGGTCAGTCCCAATAGCTGCCCCCATCTCCAGCGGTCAGTCCCAATAGCTGCCCCCAGCACACACTGAGACCTGCCGACACTGACAGCCTGGTCTGTTGATAAGATCAGAACCATGTAAGTAATTGATTCAGCATGAGAGGTATGTATGGGGCATGTACCTCACCCCCACTTGTGTGTAATCAATCAGTGTGTATCAGCGCTATCAAATAACGCCATTCATGTCCTGCCAGGCGCCATGTTAAACACCCATCCAGGTCAACGCTCTCACCATTGTTTTGTACACGGTTTGTTTACATCTGTATGTTTACATACAAGTCACCATTTCACCCGATTGGTTCTGGGGTCCTGAGACCGAAAACAGTCAGATGTTATAACAGTGTATCCTTATTTAAAGATGAAAAGATTGTGAGCGGTTTAGAAATGTTTCTATTAACTGGGTTAATTAATCGAAATGCATTAGGGCATGGTAACTAATAGTGCATGATCCTGTGTTGATCATTTTGGTAGCAGATCTATTCACTGAGGGCTTCCCTAGTTCATCTCAAAGGAGTTAAGGTTGAAATTATAAAAATATATATTTCTTTCTTTTTTAATGATACTTTACCTCTGTTTACAGACAGGTGAGTGAGTAGATGAGTGTGTGGATGGGTGAGTAGATGGGTGAGTGGGTGGGTGAGTAGATGGGTGAGTGAGTAGATGGGTGAGTGAGTAGATTGGTGAGTGAGTAGATGGGTGTGTGGATGGGTGAGTAGATGGGTGAGTGGGTGGGTGAGTGGATCAGTCAGTAGATGGGTGTGTGGATGGGTGAGTGGGTGGGTGAGTAGATGGGTGAGTGGGTGGGTGAGTAGATGGGTGAGTGAGTAGATGCGTGTGTGGATGGGTGAGTAGATGGGTGAGTGAGTAGATGGGTGAGTGAGTAGATTGGTGAGTGAGTAGATGGGTGTGTGGATGGGTGAGTAGATGGGTGAGTGGGTGGGTGAGTGGATCGGTCAGTAGATGGGTGTGTGGATGGGTGAGTGGGTGGGTGAGTAGATGGGTGAGTGGGTGGGTGAGTAGATGGGTGAGTGAGTAGATGTGTGAGTAGATGGGTGAGTGGGTGGGTGAGTAGATGGGTGAGTAGATGAGTGAGTGGGTGGGTGAGTATTTGGATGAGTGAGAGAGAAGGATTATTAGAGAGTGAATGATGGTTGAGGGATGGAAAGTGAGTGAATGAGTGAGTGAGTTTTGAGGGATTGAGTGTGAGTGAGTGAATGTTGAGGGAATGAGTGTGAGTGAGGGTTGAGTTATTGTGTGTGAGTTAAGGTCGAGGGATTGTGAATGTTAGGAAGGAAGGAATGTGAGTGCCAGGGGAAGGAAGGAGGGAGGGTTGTGTGTGAGATTGTGTGTGAGGGAGGGTTGTGTGTGAGATTGTGTGTGAGGGAGGGGTGTGTGCGAGATTGTGTGTGAGGAAGGGATGTGTGCGAGATTGTATGTGAGGGAGGGGTGAGGGAGGGGTGTGTGCAAGATTGTGTGTGAGGGAGGGTTGTGTGCGAGATTATGTGTGAGGGAGGGGTGTGTGCGAGATTGTGTGTGAGGAAGGGATGTGGGCGAGATTGTATGTGAGGGGGGGGTGAGGGAGGGTTGTGTGCGAGATTATGTGTGAGGGAGGGTTGTGTGTGAGATTGTGTGTGAGGGAGGGGTAAGGGAGGGGTGTGTGCGAGATTGTGTGTGAGGGAGGGGTGTGTGCGAAATTGTGTGTGAGGGAGGGTTGTGTGCGAGATTGTGTGTGAGGGAGGGGTGTGTGCGAGATTGTGTGTGAGGAAGGGATGTGTGCGAGATTGTATGTGAGGGAGGGGTGTGTGCGAGATTGTGTGTGAGGGAGGGATGTGTGTTGTTGTTGATTGATTGTTGTTTAACACCGCACTCAGCAATATTCCAGCTATATGACGGCAGTCTGTAAACAATGGATTCTGGACCAGACAATCCAGTAATTGATATCATGAGCATGGATCCACGCAATTGGGATACGATGACATGCATCAACCAAGTCATCGAGCCTGACCAACCGATCCTGTTAGTCGCCTCTTACGACAAGCATAGTCACCATTTACGGCAAGCATGGGTTGCTGAAGACCTATTCTACCCGGGGTGAGTGAGAGAAGGATTGAGTAAGTGAGGGCAGAGTGTGTGAGAGGTGGGGAGTGGGGGAGGGAGGAGGGGGAGATTGTGAGTGAGGAAGGCAGGAATGAGTGAGGATTTGTGAGTGAGTGTGGGGGGTCAGGGAGGAAGGAGTGAGAGAAAGGATTGGGAGGGAGGCAGGAATGGCGAGATGCACTTTTCATTGACTTTTTAGGTGAGATATTGAAATTTTACAGACAAACAACCATCTGATCTTCAATGGTTAATAATCAATTGACAAATGTTTCCCAAAAATCATCACTGAACAAAAAGAAATAAGAAACAATGAAAATTTTAAGATAACAATACAGACTCAATTTGTAATAATCAAATAATATACCACACAGTGACCAAATCCTACCCATTGTTCTAAAACTCTTCTCTGAAGTCAGATCTATAAAACAGAACTTGGTAAACATATTAACACAATTCCTCCCAACAAAATCGTTAAAAGCTATGACAGCATGACAGACTCATGGAGCCATTGATGATTCTTCCGTTACGAATACAGTGCATCTGGTGCAGTTCTCATGCTATGTGTCTCATAGTAATATGCATCTAACAGACATGTCAAATGCCAAATGATTTCCTGATAGGTTTGTTACTAATTAAATAAAAATTGGTATTACTCTAAATATAAGTTCACATTAAACAAAAACATTTCACACCAACCAACCATGGTTTATGAAACAGTTTGTATGTTTGTTGTTTAACGCCGCACTCAGAAATATTCCAGCTATATGACAGCGGTCTGTAAACCAGAAAATCCAGTGATTGACATCATGAGCTTCGATCCATGCAATTTGGATACGATGACGTGCAACAACCCAGTCAGCGAACCTGACCACCCGATCCCGTAAGTCACATCTTACGACAAGCATGGGTTACTGAAGACCTATTCTACCCCTGATTTTCACATGTCTTATAAAACAGAATCCCTGAACCAAATAACATTAGAAGAAGAGACTAAACATTTTTCAGATCAATAATCCCTATTGGTAGGGAATATAAACCATTTCTGACCAATCACACATTCAAGAACCATCAATATCAATATCAAGACGTATTCATCATCATCGTTATCCAGTCCATCACTCTTCCTGACAAGCTATTATCCCATAACTAACATATAATCTCTCGTATCAATATTGACATATTGATGACAATGGTCTGTGTAAGGGCAAGACACACCAGGCTTGCCTCACTCAGTGGGCTCAATCTGATTCAGGTGATCCAAGGTGAGAATGACAAGGGTTAATTCAGAGAGCTAAGTCAATATTTTGTAAGATAAGCTGGGGGCTTGTAATAACAGGTGATTATGAAGGACAATCATACATCAATCAACTCGAGTCCGAAATAGCTAGTCATATTATTAGCTTATTGAGTGTCGAATCACTTCATTGACCCAGATAACTCTTGGCTCTTTTCCTTCTGGCCAGAAACCATTGACTCAAATGACTAAGCTCTCTCTTTTTGTTAGCACAATTGTTTTAAGATTACAATTGTATTTAACAATTGATTACAGATAGAGGATTGAAGTATATATATTCCAAAACATCTTGGTTCAGTATCTTAACTCGCATTTATGGTTTATCACAATTGTTTTTTGGTTTCTTAAAATCATGCCTTGACTGAAAGAAATGTCACAGGTTGAAAAATGAGGTCATCATATTTCAATTAATCCTTGTAATCAGATACTGAAAAATATTTAGATAAGCAGCTGAAATATAAAGAAAATAGTGAGAAGGGGTTTTCAGAGCTTTGAACAGTATTTTGATTATATCAGTGTTTCATCATAATGTGGGTAAATAGTCCACATTTATGCAGGTCCGAGATGTTTACCACTTTGCTGAAACCCACAAGCATGATACTATCATGATATAACATTTATACTAAGTTTTCATATAATAATTAGATTCACAGCAAGGGCTTTTATAAGTTATCATTGTGTAATATTTATACAATGATAACTTATAAAAGCCCTTGCTGTGAATCTGATTATTATATGTAATCTTAGTATAAATGTTATATCATGATAATACTGAGGTAAACGTAGGACTTGAAACACTGACCAAGGGCTCCTGCTGCATTGTCTTAGACCACAATTCAAAGCTGAAGTAAGGCAACATGACTTTTTTTTAAACTTTCATTTTTTGTTATCCAATTAGCTTGGGCTGGTTGAAATAAAAAAAATACAAATACAATAAAAAATAATTATAACAACATGTATATATATTTCTCGGAAGGCTTTGTTGTCTTTATAACAGGACTGCAGCAGTAGCCAGAGACTACATACAAACCATTTGACCAAATGTTATCTAAAAAGTTAATGGTTACCATGGTTACAGCATTTTAAAAAAGTTTTGCTAAAAAGCATTTTTATCTTTCTACTCCATCAAACATGTAGAGACAAAAAATAATAAAAATTAAAAACATTTTTATATCATTTTCTGATTGTGGATTTTGGTTCCGGTTCTTTAAAATTTATAAACTGACAAACTAGAAAAGTACGTGTCTCCTCAATTACAAATATCTCAAATTAACCATGCAACTACATCAGCTTGTTTATAACTGACCTATTTCCAAAACACTTTCACCACTGAATGCAGAAACCATCAGCGCAATTATGTTAGCTTGTTAACGAAACTAACACCAAAAAGCACTCCGAAACTGGTCAATGGCAATTCTTTCTCCCAACCGGAGCAAGATGCATGATGGCCAATGGCCAAAACAGATCCATGGGCTATCCCTGGCACTACTTCCTCCCATCCATACCAAGGATGATGACTGTTGCCGCCCATCTCGGGAGGAGAACAATGAACAAGAGATGAGACCCAGTATACACACCATGGGAGTCAGCATCCATACCTTGTCCCTGTAACCTATTTCT